GGCTCCTTCCTTACCGGTATAGTTAGAATCCTCTTTTTCCCCTCCATCCCAGGTGTGGGTTTGAGAGATGGTGTTCTTTCCACTTCTGTATGGCTTTGGAGGAAAGACAGAGTGCTGATTCACATACAAATTTGCTGGCCTGGCTGATGAGATTGTGCTCTACCTTTTGCATTTGATTAAATGTGGTTTTTAATGCTGGCATTCACTCCACCAAGCCAAGATACCTCTTATTCCCAGGAGAAGATAGTCTCTGCTTTGGGTTTTTCACTTACCTCACCTTAGAGCTCCAGGAAGTGGGGAGCTAGGACATTTTTCCTGATTCTACCAAAACTCTCAGATCTTCTGAGCAATGAGCCAGGGTTGCCAATCTTAAAGTTGACATTTTCCTCTCAACATTACTTTAACTCTCATAGACTCTGACACAGAGTTATTTTCATTATCATTATTTTTTAGCACTCTTGTCTTTTCTCATTGTATTTTTGCCATTCACCCAAGAATTATTCAATTGAAGGCTTTTTGTATGTGATCAATGTTTGTAACACCTTCCTTTTATAGAACTTACTGATATCTCCTTTGTAACTTGGTATGTGATCAATTTTGGGAATATTCCATATATAATTGAGAAAAAATATATATTCTCTATTATCAGGGTGTGGTATTTAATAAATGTACATGAGATATGCTTTACTGACTATAATGTCTCAATATTCTATGTCTTCGCTTCTTTTGGTCTACATGGCCTGTCTTGTAAGTGTTGTATAGAAGTCTTTTACTATTATTCTCACTCATGTCCTTACAACTTTCATACGTCATGTTGTAGTTTCAGTCTTATTTAAGTGATACATACATCTCATAATTGTTGTATCTTCATTAGGAATTATTTATCCTTAGCTTGATCAAATGCCCCTTTTTGTCTTATTTACTGAATTGTGCTCTAAATTAAATTGTCTGATAATAACAGTTCAACCCTTACTCTCTTATCATTTCCATACACCTGGTATGCTTTTGGTTGATGTATTTTTCACTATTTGAACCAAAACTAAATTTTATCATAGAGTTAAGTTGCTTTATGAGCCAGTCTGAAAGTCTTTTTTAAAATAGGCTAGCCAAACCTAATCATGTTTATGGATATGATCGATACGTTTGATAGGAACTCTGTGTTTTATTTTATAATTATTGTGTGTATTTATTATATTTCTTTTTCCATTTGGTGTCTTTAATTTGAAAAAGAATTCCGTAATTAAGATGTGTATCTTTGTTTGAATTATTTCCTTTTTACTTATACATATATTTATATATACCACTTATAATTCTTGTTCTTTCTTCACCATTTACTATCTGGTTTGCCAATTTTAAGTTGCATCCTTTGTTATGTACCTGTTACCTATATAAAAATCAATATCTCACTCTACTTTCCCCTTTCTCTCCCTTCTGCATCCATCTATTTTTAGTTTTATTCTTAATACTGTCAGAATACATAACAAATGATGTTCTCCCACCCACCTGTGTCCTCACTCCTGCTTTAGCCTTAGCTCTACAGTTAAATATGTTAAATACTCACCATCAGTCCTTGTGCTAAAGTTTCTCTAGTTATCTCTTTGGCTTAATGAAATGCATCTCTGGTGTATTTCTCAGAGAATCAATTTTTGTATAGAATTCCTGAGTTCCTCTATGCTTAAAACTATAAGCTTAACAATTGAAAGACAGTTGAACTGTATATAAAATCCTTGGCTTGCAATTTATTTTCTTGAGTTTCTTGAGAGTAAAGTTCACATCTAACTGCTGTGAAGTATCTACAATCATTGGTTGCTAAACTGTTATGATGTGATTATATCCAGAAGATTTGTGTTCCAGTGTAAAGGATGGTTTCCTGTATTTTTGGACCTTACTTATTGGTGTTAATAGCTATTTCTCAGCATGTCTAGATACATCCAGGCATAAAAAGTTAATTTAATCAAACACTTGATCCAGAAAAGAAATTCATCAAAACAACAAGTCCCCAAAATGTGACAAAATTCATTCAAAGGAATTAAATCACAACCATATAATATACTTACAATTTTGCATATAATGCTTTTGTTACTTTACCTTCCTCTCAAAGATTACTCAACTATAGTCTGTAGTCTATATTTTGTTTATGTGCATACATGAGGTCAAAATTATCTTTTTAAATATACTAAGATATTATTTACCTTTTCACTGTGGTGAACTTAACCTTGATAATGCAAAAGCAGTGATGCCATAAACTGCCGGGGACTTAGCACGAAACTAGGCAGTGACACCAAACTATATTAACAGTCACGGCATTTACTTATTTTTAACCACCACTCACTCACAAGGAAAATGTCAGCTTCATTTAAGACCATCCTTGGGGCGCCTGGGTGGCTCAGTGGGTTAAAGCCTCTGCCTTCGGCTCAGGTCATGATCCCAGGTCCAAGGATCGAGCCACGGGTTCCCTGCTCAGCAGGGAGCTTCTCTCCTTCCTCTCTCTCTGCCTGCCTCTCTGCCTAGTTGTGATCTCTGTCTGTCAAATAAATAAATAAAATCTTTAAAAAAATACCATCCTTAATTAGGAAGTTGAAATACTGTTATTAAACCTAGACCCTCAAGTACATGTCTTTCTAATTCTCTGTGAAGAAATGTGAAATATACCTGAAGTGCTTTGCTGCCTACCAAATTAAGATAGTTGATTTGAGGAAAACTGCTTGTGCATTTTTTTTTTTAGTTGCAAGATGAACTAGCCTTTTAATAAGAAATATAATTTTTGCTAAAAAGAATAACTGATAGACAAATGCTACTTATTCTCAACAGTTAACAAAGTGAATTTGTCACTTTAAGAAAAACAAGTGATGGTAGTTTTCAGTGATAAAATTCAGCTTCTTTTTTTTTAAGATTTTATTTATTTATTTGACAGAGAGAGATTACAAGTAGGCAGAGAGAGAGGGAAGCAGGCTCCCTGCTGGGCAGAGAGCCCGATGCGGGACTTGATCCCAGGACCCTGAGATCATGACCTGAGCTGAGGGTAGCAGCTTAACCCACTGAGGCACCCAGGCGCCCCTAAAATTCAGCTTTTAAATAAAAACAGAACTTTGGAAAACTTGTATCTGCCTTCTTAAGCTTGGAGGCTTTTCAATATTCAAAGACCTTTTTGATGATATTGGTGGTGATATTAATACATGTACTTTAAATATTTTATGAAATGTATCAACAAAACCTACCTAACTCAGTGAACCAGTATTTTCCAAAATGAACAGTATGTTATTACCAAGTCAGGCATAGCTAAAAGAGCCACTCAAAATGCAAGATAAAAAGAAAATGCAGTATAGACTGGTGTATTTTAAAGTAACAGCTCAAAAGTCCATTGATATGATTTCAGATTCCACAAATTAGCACTTGTCAAACTTTAGTTATCTAACATTATCTAAAGAGTACATTAAAATACTTCTTCTTTTCCAACTATTTGTATGAGATTGGACTTTCTTCATATATTTCAACTAAAACAACAAATTGAATTGGATTTAATATAGAAACAGATATGAGAATCCAGCTCTCCTTTATTAAGCAAAACATTAATGAAATTTGAAAAAAATATGAAACAGCTTTCCTCACTATATTTTTGTTTTGGAAAATATGGTTATTTTTCATTAAAATATTTATTTATAAGTATATTATTATCATTTTAGTAGAATCAATAAATATTCTAGAATATCTAATTTTGTATTTTAATTAAAAATATTAAATTTCTAATGTTGATAGCTATAATGCACACAATTGTTCTTTGAGGACCCTGCACTTTTTTAAGAGTGTAAAAGAAGTCTGAAACCAAGATGTCTGAGAACAAGTGATCTATATCCAAACTTAAAAACCTTCAATAGGTTCCTACTGTCATAAGAACCAAATTCTTAACATGGTACCAATGGTACCAATTAATAATATGTTATAAACATATGAACATGCACTTAGTTCCTCAGTCCCATAATGTTCCCTCCTGTGAGCACGCGTTCCCTCTCTGCAGCATGTTCTTAATCTATTTCAACTAGTTAACTCTTTCTCATCCTTCTGATTTCAGCTCAAGCAATACTTCTGCAGGCTTTCTTGGAACCATGCTCTTGTATTTCATTACCTTTCTGCTTTTTCTAATTTTACATTTATTGATGAAAATGATCATTAAGTCTTTCTTCCCACAGCTAGGTGAAAAAGCTGTAAAACTGATAAGCATGTGTGTCTTGGCTCACCATTACAATCATTTTTCCTAACAGAGTGCTTATCTGGATAGGATAGGAAATAAAATACCTGTTGGCGATTGGAGAAGTGGGTGCATATATGAATTGACAGAGGAAGGGGTGAATCATTAAAGAACATGACTGGGCATGAATATCTTCTTCAGTGATACAAAGAGCCAAGATAAACTCTTGAAAGAAATACATTGGATTCATTTTAGTCACTCATGGTATTTTTCCTTGTGCAATTTCATTACTATATTCTTGTTGGCTATTTCTTTTATAAAGGAAAAGAAAGGAAGTAGAAAGAACATATAATGACACTTAGTTGTGGTAGCAAATGTTCCTGTGCAAGCCTGGTAATGAAAAATTGTTAGCAAATAACTCCTGTATTTCACATGACTGATTTTCTATAGATTATATTAAAATTATATTATTTTTATGGATATCTGTCTTCTTGTAGGCTCCTCTGTTTCCTCTTTTCACCTAATAATCTACAGTTAAATATTATGTATTGACTCAAATTTCTTCCATACCTCCCTGTTTACTAGCCTGTCATTATATTAAGACACTTTGCTGAAAATGTGTAATTCATCAGTCTCCCCAGGAGATGTTATACCTCTTATGGGCTCAGACTGTATTTTATTCATTTGTGTATCCACAGGATACAGTAAGGTGTTCAGCACTTGATAAACAATAAATGAATGTATGAATGAATTATTGAATTAAACATTTAATAGCTATTTCATATTCCTTAACACCTTTATTAAATTCTTTCAGTCAAAACCCAGGTAATGGGAGAAATCAAGATTGCATTGAAGAAGGAAATGAAGACAGATGGTGAACAACTAATAGTTGAGATTCTCCAGTGCAGAAATATCACCTATAAATTTAAATCTCCCGATCACTTACCAGGTATCTAATTTTATGATAATGAACTGTGTCATATATCTAGGAATTCTGTAGGAATATTTCCTAAATAATCTGGATAATGTAGAGTAAAATTTGGGCTGTATACCAAATATATCTGAAAAATGGAAAATAATAATTAATTTCTGGGGCACCTGGATGGCTCAGTTGGTTAAGCCTTTGGCTCAGGATCTCCAGGTCCTGGGATCGAGCCCTCTGTCGGGCTCCCTGCTCAGTAGTGAGTCTGCTTCTCTCTCTCTCTCTCGCTCTCACTCTCCCTCTCCTTCTGTGCTTCCCCACTGCTCATTCCTTCTGTCTCTCAAATAAATAAAATCTTTAAAAAAAAAAAAAAAGAATTTCTCTTCTACAGAACAAGTTGATATTTTACTACTTTTTTGGCTAAATTTTTCAACACATAAACTTAAAGTAATGTATTTACCATGCAACAGGAAAACTGAATTGCTAAGAAAATTGGTGTATCTTTTAATCACTTTATGTTGTCTGAAACAAATCAAGCACAATCTGCTGGCTTTGTGTAAAATATAGGAGAGCTCCCAGTGTACAATTGTAATTCTTTCAATAGAAAATTGTATGAGTCATGGACACTTCACAATCTGAATTCTTATTTTCAGATTTATATGTAAAAATATATGTGATGAACATCTCCACCCAGAAAAAGGTGATCAAGAAAAAAACAAGAGTATGCCGACATGATAGAGAGCCTTCGTTCAATGAAACTTTTAGATTCAGCCTCAGTCCTGCTGGACATTCTCTTCAGGTAACTCTATATTATACTGCTACTATTTTAAAACTTTTGTTCGTACAAGATTTGTTTTCCATTCAGTTATTTAACATGTGTTTACCGATCCTACAGTCTGTGATATTTTACAAGTTAATGACTTCTTAGAGGTGTCTTTCTGGGGGCCCTTTAGAATCCCACAGCTCACTCACCCATCCAGTTAGCTACCAAGTCTTCTCTATTCTGACCACTCAGTTTATTTTATATAGATTCATTTCCATGCTCACTGCCACTAATCTTCTTCGAGTCCTCATCTCTGTTATTCAGATCATCTTAGCAGTATACCCGCCCTCCTTGCCATCCGTGTCTTACCCTCTTAATTCATTCCATCACACTGCTGGCAGAGGTATCTTCTAAAAACACTGGCTAGGAAGGTGTGGGGGATGGATGAAATAGGTGAAGGGGGTGGGGGTATACTGATTGTGATGGGCAGGGAGCAATGTATAGAACTGCCGAATCATGATGTTGTACCCCTGAAACTAATATAACACTGCATGTGAAGTATACTTGAATTAAAAGTCAGTAGGCAGATAGATAGATAGATAGATAGATAACAACACGGACTAGCACGTTCCATTAAAACCCTTCAGTGACTCACCAATACCTTGCCTCATTCATACTCCTCTAAGGTGAGCTCTAATTGTACTGATTTAATCTCATCTCCTTGTATACTTCCCAACACACTCTATGCTCCAGCCGCACCACAATCTTTGCAAATCAGGTTAAGCCTCCAATGCTTTGCTCCTATTTTTCTTCCCCTTCAGTATTCTCCTTCTCTCCCCACTCATCCCACTGGTCCACAATCTTTCAGTGTAAACTCAGCCCTTTACTGAGGACCCCAGGTCCAATTCATCACACCTTATTCACATGACATTTTGCTTAACCTATTGGGCTGTCAAGCCTGATCCGTACTGCACAATCATTTATATACTTACCTGTCACTGCTTCCATACACCTTCCTCTTCTCTAGGGCAAGGCCTGGCTTCTATTGCTCTTTGTTCTACAGCCCCATACAAGGCTGGTACAGAGTGTGTGTCCTCAGTAGATGTAGGGACAAGGAATGAAAGAGGGAAAAGGAGGCAGGAGGAAAGAGATGAAAAAATAGAGGGAGAAGAAGACCATGATATTGGCACTTAAGGGCCGACACTAAAGACAAATATAATAAATATTACCAAGCTAAAACTGTGTTGAGAGAATTGACAGACATTAGAGTGGAAAGAAATAATAATAATAATAATAATAATAATAATAATAATAATAAAAGTAAAGGATGCCTTGGAGTCTGTATGAACAACTGTGTCATCCACAGAGATTAAGTAGTTGGAGAGGGGACCTCGAGGGAGAAAGATCACACATTTGTTTGAAATGTGATACATTTGATGAGAAAGCAGGATCCAAGTGAAAACCTATCTTGTCATCTGAAATCCCAAAACCAGAGGCCAGAAAAGATAGTCATAACTAGAAATGCAGATTTTGAAGTCAGAAGCATAAAAGTAAGGTTTTAACCAAGAAGGAAGATGAATTCTCTAAAAGAGATTCTGAAAACAGAGAGAACAAGAGAGAATTGTGAAGGATTCGTGGTTAGCACCACTAATGCTCTCCACCTTCCTTTCAACTCCTCTTTAATAGAAAAAAATAAAATGTCTTGAATCTGAGATCCTATGGCAGTTCAGCTAATGTTAAGTTCTACATACAACAAATCATCTTGGAAGAGCATACCATAGTAAAATCACCAGTAAATGAATGTTAAATAAAATTAATGTTGCATTTTATCTGCCTCGTGAGCTCTTATTTATTCAGCACTCAAATAATTTTGTATTTGAGTTAATATTTCATAAACTAGCAGAAAATGTTCCTAGCAAAATTCTTTTGAGAAACTTTCCTAATTTCCAAATTCATGTAAGCATAAATGTAGTCAGAATTAGCTGTTAATGCATGTCATCTAAAATTCTCATCTCCTCCAGGTTGTGTCTTTTCCTTTGGGAAAGGCTGGTGTGAATTAATTAATATTCTGCACATCTTTTGAGGACATTGTGAGGATTAGTTCTCTTACACATATAGCTGCTACTTCCCCTCACCCTTTCTTGTTTGTGTTATGTCTTTGACGATCAAATGTCCTTTAAAAAGACTGAAAAATATATGCAACTATATATAATTTTGGCTATTTTTTCCAGATTTTACTTTTCTCTAATGGAGGGAAGTTTATGAAAAAGACCTTGATTGGCGAAGCCTGTATCTGGCTTGACAAAGTGGATCTCAGAAAAAGAATAGTCAACTGGCACAAACTTTTGGTCAGTCCTACTCAAACCCATTGAAGAAATGTGTCTGCTCAGGGTATAGAAACTGCTCTAAATAATTTCAAATCAAGACTAGAGTTGGATACGATTCTACAATGTTTTTAGGGCTAAACGTGAGAGGAGGAGCCACAGGCAAACACATACTTAAAGCTTTGTGAATATTCTGTTGTGGAACACAGAAAGAAAACTCAAAAAGTTCACATATTGGAGACCCCCCCAAAAAAGAGCTTTGAGTCCTTGGATTGCTTCAAGAAAAAGAGAAAAGAGTGAGAGCTATTTTGTTTACTTAAGGCACAAATCTTTGAGCAGAGTTGAACTATAGCTACAGGCAGCTGCTCGAATATTAATATGGTTCCTGATGCAAGACAAAGTTCATCATTCATGCAAGAGAACCTTGGTGGAAGGGAAAGAACTGATGTAACAAATCTCAGTTTTCAGGAGTCTAAAGATCTTGCTTCATCTTATTTTCTCAGATGACTTACTGTTTTTAGATTCTGACATAGGATACAACTACAGTATGCATTCAAGACTAGAAGTGATGTGGTTGTGTTCAGAGGGAAAGGGTACTGGAGATGGAGAAATTATGGCTTTTAGATTTTCTCTCTGTCTAAATGTTACAAGCAGGAACAATACCAACCTTGGAATTCATGTCGTAAAAGCACATTTGTATAATTCAAAATGATGTAGAGGGAAGATAATACTAAGTGGAAATGGAATTATATTTATCTAGAAATAAGGCCATGATTGGCTCGCACTGAATGTTGCCCCACAAAAATATTGGAACCTTGGTTGAAGACATCAAAATCTCCTTAACTGACCATTAAGCCAATATATTTTCAACGTTCATACCAAAGAACATAGATTAAAATGGTATGTTCCAGGAAGCCTGAACAGTTTTTCTTTGTGGAATTGCAAATAAATGTTATTCCACATATTTTCTTTGAAATTGAAAGAGAAAATTCTTCCTCTGGCAAACAAATCATATTAATCTGTGACATGGATTAATTAACTTGGTGTCATTTCCTGCTCTTCCATGATGCTTTTTTTGTCCTTAGCACACTGATTGTATGATGAAAACCCTGACACCAAACTCAAGTTCTTCCTAGTGCTCCATTTTTCTCCATTAGTGACTGTATCGTGGTGATCAAGTTCATCAATATTGGGAAAATAAGTGAAAGTCAACATTTATATTGAGATTAAAATATAACTTGAGCTATTTTATTAGTATGGAATAAAGGGACCAATGACCAGCTCATTAAAACACAGCATCCTCTTTACATCAACCAATAGTATAGACAAAGGAAGTAGATTGGAGTTGTAGGAAATGCACTCGACTGGGATGAAAAGCCTGGCTTCTGCCTTGGTCCTGCCACTGACTGTATCACCTTGCACATGTCACTTAAAGTCACTTTTTCCCAGTTTCTTATTTGTAGGATAAAAATAATTACCTATTCCTGGCCTTCCTAATGGGATGTTGGGATGATCAAACCAAGTGAACTGTAAGGAAAAAAAGAAAGCACATTTTCAGATATAGTTTTATACATAAAGTGAGGAATAATATTATGCAGCTCTTTATTTCTTCAAATTTCATATGCAAAAACATCCTCCATACCGATGGTAAGCATTGACTTGGATAAAAGAAGTGTGTTCAGTCCAAAACTAATGGTTTTTCTTTAAAATACAAACTTGAATTGAACCTGAGAAAAGGTGAAAATTAAATCAAAATGATTTGCAAATTGGGTTATTATCAATGAAACAAATCATACCAATCTTATACTATTCCCATATCCTACCTTAAAATAAATTGCTTCTCAGAACATTCTGAGTTTGAAAGCTGCTGCTTCATTCAAAGGTGAGGTTTTAGTGGATTTCAAGAAATCATCTCCAAATACGTTGGTTGGATATGGAATTTTCTCACTTTTAAAGAAAAACATGCTTTAAATTTGAAAGGAATTGATTAAATGTAAAACACTGAAAATAAAACAATTTCTAATAAGTTCCAGGCTATATATCTTTATTACATTCCTAAAGAAATACAGATTCACTCTTCCCCAATCCAAGGAAGAAAACAGTCCCTTTTCCTCCCTCTATTTTTTTTTTTTTTTTTTAACCTGTCCTCCCTGACAATGCAGTGTCATTTACCACTAATACAGCTCTACAACAAGCATGCAGGGAAGGGATCGCTGAAGACTTGATACTGCTAGGATTTTATTTTTAGAGACAACTAGATCTGCTGATGGTTGTTATGGATATTTCCAGCAGAAGTGAGCACTTTAGGGAGCTTGTAATATCACTCATCATTGGGGAAGGGAAGGATTCGGGAAGATCTCTTTCTGACAAAAAAAGTTCTGCTATTCACCCTTCAAAGGAAACCCTGGCTCACCACACACCCTCTTCTGCAGCCATGCACATCCAGAGGTATGCATGAGAGGTATGACCAGTAGGTTTGACTTCATTCTAGTTACAGTTTCTTTTAAAGTAACACAAATGAGGTGCCACCCAAACATAGATCATCCCTTGGTAGCTATTTGACCTGAAAGGGTAGAAGTCTCTTCATTCTAGGTGCCCCTTTGTTCCGAGGAACCAGTGACGGGGCCAGGTCAATCAAGAGAGCTAATGACAGGGCTTCATTTTTGTGCACCAGCATCCCCTTTCAGAGAGCATAAGATCCTGCCACAGTGTGCCAAGTTTGCAGCTGACCAAAATCCTAAGTTGTACGGGAATTATTCTATGCAACACTGATCCTCGAACAAATGCATTTCTTCTGGATGATGTCGATTACCCTTCTTACAACAAAGCTGTTTCTTTTTTAATTGCGAATAGGGCTCTTGGTGTTTTTTTACTTTTTTGTATATATCACAGCACATAATTTTCCACTTTTTCATTTCTTTTATTTTTTTGGAATCAGTTTTTTTTCTTAATCCTACCGATGACAAAGTTTGTAATCTCTCAATAATATGTGATCAGTCCAATTCCAACACCTATATCTCAAAAAGCATCTTAATTTCTCCCCACGACTTCATTGAGTCATCAGAAACTGGAGTTGCTTCTTGTTTCAAAACGTGGTCCTAAAGAAACTTCTGGCTGTAGAAGCAAAAGCACAGAGTGAATTTTTACAAAAGACAGGGATTTGTAGAATGGTCATTACAGACATAGGTAATGGTATAAACGAGAAGTTGGTGTTTCCCCCTGTTTTTACTTAAGGTTAAGAAGATTTTTGGTGACTCTGAACTCTTTCTTTACCATTTCTGTTGAAAAGAACAGTATCCAAGACTAAGGAGCAGTGATTGTCTTTGTTCCTTAATGTGCCCCTATTGTAACTAATCATACAAATAAATGTTTATTTTCAGCATATCAGTGGAATTAGTTTTGTGGATCACACACATTAAAATAGTCATATTGTGGGACTATTCTAGCTGGTAACCAGCTGATATTGATACTTACTAGGAATGGTTGTGACGATAGTGTTGATAGTGGTAGTGACAATAGGTCGGTGGTCATGTGAAGTAAAATAAAATTCTAAACTATATTGTGCCCAATTTATTAGAAATTATTTGATTGATGTTTCATTTCATTAAGATATCATAAAGATGTTTATAGTATTTTTTTACTTTATTATTTAAATCATAACTAATGATATTTTTAAAAGCTTATTTTCATTGCTATAATGTCTAATATTCCAAAAGCAGCCAACTACAGCTATATATATATATGTTTATAACTCTCCATGTGACAGAGTGAGTTTCCGTCTTTTTGAGCTTGACATGGAAGTGAAAGAAAGCTCGACGAATCATTATGAACTGTCTCTTTAATAACTACTTGCCTTCGATGTAATACAAAAATGAATGAGTGAAACAGATATTCTCATCGAATATGACACATTGATGTTTTCTGTATGTTCCATGTTGTTGTCATTATTAAAGGTACCCATTAAGTCAAAATCATTTAATCAAATGATTCCTTATCTGATATGTAGATCAAGAGCATTTTCTTAAGTGGTTACCCTGTACATAACTATACATTTGGTAAAATAGACAAAGTTGAAATATTAATTTCATTTGGCATTCAGCATGTGACTATGATTATCGTTTGATTGTGTCTGTATATTTGTTGGTGATGTGCTCAGGTGCTCCCACTACTGATTAATGTGTGTGCTAATATCCTAACAAAAACACATCTGATATTAATGGAAAAAAAAAAAAAACCTTGTCTGAAAAAATAAAAATCTAATAAAATTGATTTCAAAATAAAAAATAAAGTACTTGGAAATATGTCTTGTTTCTAACTACATGTTGCATGCCGTGTTGGTGATTTGCTAATGTGTTCTTTTCTGTTCTACCCAAATCTCTCTGGAAAAGCTAACAAACAAATACAAAGTCTTGGGCTAAAGGTTGTAGAAATTGAATTGAAATACATGAGAATTGTATTAAAAATGCTTGTAAATCTGTCTTGAGTTTTACTCTATGTAAAAATATGTCTTGGTTTTGTGATTGTATACAAGATGTATCTTGATAGTTTATGCAGACTGTGCTGTATAAAAAGGCTGTTGCCTCAGCCTTCCTAATAAATATTGAAAATGTCAACTTTGACTGCTTGTGTTTACCCACTTGATAAATTGATACTTTATTCCAGAAATTGAACTTTTCATAACATCTTCTCTGAAAATTGTATCACAAATATGTTTATTCACCCAGTTTAAAAAATAAATTTTAAACACAGCACAGAAAACAGAATTAATAAATGTATAGCTTAATAAATTATTATATGTCAGGCACTCTTAACCACCACCCAGCTCAAGAAATTAAACTTTGCCAGTCATCTCATAAGACCTCCATTTTACCCCTCTCTTGCCCAACACCCTCCCAACCCTAAATGCAACCACCTTCCTGATATTTATGATAATTACTTCCTGGGTTATCACTGACATCCGTTTAGTACACAAATACTTGCGTGATTTTCCTGTTTTCTTTTTAAAATGTTTTCTAAGCTTCTTTTAATCTACTTAGTCTCCTCCCCAC